CTCTATTTCCCGGATGATTCGGCTCGAGCCCTGTCCGGCCGGCGAGGGTGTGTTCATGGGAAAGTCTACCGACCCCCCCATTTCTATGTCTATCAGTGTTTTTTCAGGGACCTGGGCGTTTGTCTTCCTTTCACTCAGTTTGAGTGTGATTTCTTGAACTACATCAACGTGGCCCCTTGCCAACTGCACCCTAATAGCTGGGGTTTTTTAAGGGCGTTTCAAATCCTGTGCGCGGTCCTAGGGATAGAGTTGTCCCTTCGCGTTTTCCTTCACTTCTACCAGCTGAAGCTAGGTGTTCTGCCTTACGACATTCTTTCTTTGAGCGGGAGTAAAGAAGGGGGTTTATTCACTCTTTACTCCCAGTCTTATAAAAAATTCAAAACTGAGTTCTTCCGGGTTGCCCTCGTGGACGTTGACCCTTTAGAGGATGGAGGTTTCTACTTCGGTGGACTGCCGAAGTTCCCCTTCTACTGGGTCCCCAAATCGTCTAGGTTTCACGGGGTGGACCCTTTGGAGTTGACGGCTTCGGAGGCTGCCGTTGTCAAGAATTTCTCGGCACTTCCTCACCCATTGGATTGCAAGTCGATCTTGTCGCTTGCAAACTCGGCGCATAGGGAGAGTTGCCGGTGGTGGCTGAGGAGCGCCTTCGTAGCGAGGTCATTCTTGGTGGCCGGGAGGACGAGATTGCCACCTTGAGGGCGGAGCTTGTGGAGCTAGCGGCGGGGAAGGCGACCGTGGAAGGGAGGCTTGCGGAGGTCGAACACTCCGTTGTGATGGAGCACAAGAGGGGCTTCCAAAAGGTTGCTCGTCAGGCACGACTCCTTGCTCCCGGGTTCGACTTTTCCTCCATGCATGTGGAGAAGGTTGTCCGCTTTGGGAGGCTGGTTAAGGAGGACGATGTCGATGACAGTTCTAGTGAGAATGCCTCAGCCTAGGCCGCCTTTGTAATAGTTTAGTTTATTTTTCCCTTTTTTATTTCCTTGTTTAGTATATTCCTTTGAACTCAAGCGTTAAGCTCCGCAAGTGTTTTGTATGTATCTTCAGACTCTCGGCGTAACACTGCCGAGCTGTCTTCTGATTTGCCTTGACGGAGATGATCTTACCGTCATTCCCTGGGAACTTCATGGTGAGGTGTGGAGTGGACACCACCGCTCCGAGCTGATTCAAGGTTGGCCTCCCGATGATGATGTTATAGGAGGTGTTGGCCTCCACGAGAAGGTATCGAACCATGATTCTCCTTGTATCCGGGGGTCCCCCGAAGGTTGTCAGTAGGTCTATGTACCCGCGAGTGTGAAATCGCTCTCCTGCAAAGCCGACTAGGGGCTCCGTGTGCGGCTGGATGAGAGAATGGGGGACGTCTAGCCTAAGGAACGTTGGCCAGTACAGGACGTCGGCCGAACTTCCTTGGTCAATGAGTGTCTTCTGTACCTCCCTGTTGGCGACCTCCACCATGATAACCATGGGATCATCTTGGTTAGGGCTGACACCCGCGTAGTCCTCGTCAGAGAAGGAGATCGGCGGTGAGCTTTGGTGCGAGGCCGAGGTGGTAGAGTGGATGCAGTTGACATTCTGCAGGTGCCTTTTTCGGGCCGAGCTGCTGGCGCCTCCCTCAGCGAAACCACCTGCAATTGTGTTAATCACTCCCCGTAAGGGAGCTGTCCCTGTCTCCTGGCTTACCTCGACCTGCATTGCGCCGCCGGTATTTTGTTGGGAGCCAGAGGGTTGGTCCGTGCGAGTTCCCGAGCCTCGCCCTCTGCCACGCCCCCGACCACCATAGCCTCCTCCGTGACCCTGCTGTCGCTGGATGTACTGGCCGAGGTGGCTTGCCTGGATGAGCTCTTCGATGCGGTCCCAGAGCGTGTGACACTCCTCCGTTGTGTGAACGTGGTTCTTGTGGTACCGACAATGCTTGGACTTGTTGGTGCTGTTGGGAGTGTGACCTGGTGGTGGAAGGGCGAGTAAGTTGTTGTTGCTGGCTTCTTCCAGGATGTGGACTCTGGGTGCGTTCAGGGGAGTGTAGAAGTCGTATCTCCCCCCTCTGTTTGCCCTAGTCGACCTCTTGAACTGGCTGTCATTGTTGACTTTGACCTTGTCGTTGTGCCCCTGCTCTGGCTTTGCTGGTCCTTTTCCGCGAACCTGGTCACGGAAGGCGGAGTGTTCCTCCATCTGGATGTAACCTACAGCGCGGGCGCGGAGCTCGTTCATGTCGCGGGGGGACTCACGACACAGGCTGTCGACAAATGGCCCGGGTTTGAGTGCCATGAGCATGGCATGTAGGGCGACCTCGGGATTCAGGTTTCTGATCTTGATCGAGGTGGCAATGAACCGTTCCATGAATGCCCGGAGTGGTTCGTCGTCATTTTGCCTGAGACTGGCCAAGGCAGCTGAAGTGACATGATGAGGTCGGCTCGTCGCATATTGCGCGGTGAACTTCCTAACTAGGGTGCCGAAGCTGTCGATGGACTCGGGAGGCAGTTGAGTGTACCAGTTGAGTGCGGCCCCTTGAGTGAGGTCGGAAACACCCTACACAAAATAACATCATTGTTGGTGTAGAGATTTACTTGTGTTGTGTACAGGTCGATGTGCTCATCCGGGTCCGTCATGCCATCGTAGCGGTCGAGGTGGAGAGGCTTCCACCCGTGAGGGAGTGGTGTCTCCATAATGCCATCCACAAAAGGGTGGCGGCGGAAGGTTGGCTGATCCCCCGTGGCATGAGTAGGGGCCTTGCTGATTTCATGGGCTGACTTGTACGTCGATGCATGAGACCGATGCGTTGTAGGTCGTTGAGTTGGTGCCTTGGTTGCCGTCTGAGGTTGAGAGACTGAGTGCTCCTCTTCCTCATTGTGGTTACCCGTATGAGGAGGATGATCGGAGTGGTGTCGAGGGAGTTGAGCGCGGATTCGCTCGTTCGGCTTCGTTAGTGGCACGCATTGCCGCTAGGTCAGTGTCGTGCTTGGCACGCATGTTTTGTAGGTCGGCGGCGTGTTGCTGCCGCATCTGTTCGACTTGATCGATCAGTCTCCTCAACGCTGCTTCGTTATCCATGGTAGTTGAGTGGTTTGCGTCGTCTGTCGTGCGTCTACTATGGCTTCTGGTGAAAACCATAGGCATGGCCGATAAGAGCTGTCTTGATCGGCCCAACGGTGGGCGCCAAATGTTTTTATCGGAAATCTGATATAGAGCTGATCCGCCAGGTAAGATCGGTGAGCCTCTTTCACTGGTACCCTGGTGCTCCAAGATGGGGGTGGTACATGCAAAAGAGACTCCGATGCTAAAGTTAGTTTTTGTGGGAGTATGAATCTAGTATATGTAATGCACGTACCTTAGTGTGAGTTAGGGTTGCTTTGGGCCTTGGGCCTAAGATGAGACATGATAAGATTAGATAAGGGATCTCTTCCGGGGCAGGATCCCTTGAGATCGGTTATGATCTGCTATAATGCCGAGCTGACGTCGCGTAGCGCGTGCCCAAGGTCATCTCGTGCTGCGATGCCGAGCTTTCGGGCTCAGAACTCGGTTGCACCGTACGGACAGTACACATAGTTGGACTCGGGAGGCAGTTGAGTGTACCAGTTGAGTGCGGCCCCTTGAGTGAGGTCGGAAACACCCTACACAAAATAACATCATTGTTGGTGTAGAGATTTACTTGTGTTGTGTACAGGTCGATGTGCTCATCCGGGTCCGTCATGCCATCGTAGCGGTCGAGGTGGAGAGGCTTCCACCCGTGAGGGAGTGGTGTCTCCATAATGCCATCCACAAAAGGGTGGCGGCGGAAGGTTGGCTGATCCCCCGTGGCATGAGTAGGGGCCTTGCTGATTTCATGGGCTGACTTGTACGTCGATGCATGAGACCGATGCGTTGTAGGTCGTTGAGTTGGTGCCTTGGTTGCCGTCTGAGGTTGAGAGACTGAGTGCTCCTCTTCCTCATTGTGGTTACCCGTATGAGGAGGATGATCGGAGTGGTGTCGAGGGAGTTGAGCGCGGATTCGCTCGTTCGGCTTCGTTAGTGGCACGCATTGCCGCTAGGTCAGTGTCGTGCTTGGCACGCATGTTTTGTAGGTCGGCGGCGTGTTGCTGCC